TAACCTCGTATCTGATATCCAGACTCCAATCATCGCAACCTTGAGAGTGAAGATACCGATTATACGGCCATTTGAGGCCAACTACGAATTCATGCCGCGTCTCCACCCTCAACCATGGCCAGATTTCTTTACTGTCGATGATGCATTGTTTGGAAATGACTCAACCCCGAAAATCGGGGGCTTGCAGCAGCGGTGGTGCCTTAACTCAAAGGTCGTTTCTTTTGCGCTAACCCCGCTTGTTATTGAAAAGATATCACTGGTGCTAGTTGGAGTGGGTGGAGGGGCCACGTGCCACGTCGGTCCTGAAGCGATCGTTAGTCCAGGCGGGCCAGAGATCTATTTGGAGGAACTCCGCGAGTCCAATTTTGCTGTGGATATCCACAAGGTAATTCTAGGCGACCGGCGACCCACAGCTCTGAACCTCGCTCTTGAAATTCAATGGCGACGAAGCGCAACCGATGATAGTGAATCAGCCTTGAGCAGCAACGGTACGACTATATCCACACTTGCGGTTCCTCGCTTTGTCGTTCCTGGGGGGGAACCACGTGTGCTTGCCTCGGCAATGGCCTCCCAGATACGTTCTGGATTGACTCACTTAGACTACACCATCGAGAATCCGTCGATGCACTTCCTTACCTTCAACTTAACTATGGAGGCCAGCGAAAACTTCGCCTTTAGCGGTCCGAAAACCCTGGTCGTTCAGCTGGTGCCTCTGAGCCGACACACGGTTCGGTACAACCTACTGGCATCTAGACGGGGGCTATGGATACAGCCACAACTGATCGTGGTGGACACATACTTCAACAAAACCCTTCGGGTGCTCCCCACAGAGGACATGCGGTCGGACAAAAAGGGGCCGTTAATATGGGTTGATGCCGATGACTAAATTGCAGCTTCTACGATTGTTATTGTGTTTTGTTGGTGCAGGTAGCAATGAGGGGTACAGGTGTTCTTATGTGATATAGATGGTATAGTTTGAGCGACTTGAGTGCGATAGATAATGAGTGTCTTTTTACTTTACACTCAGCTACTAGTCCTATGGCTACTCCTAGTAGTTTAAATCTACGGAAAACCGTGAGATTTTCATGACAGCAACTTCAATTACACGGAGAGATATAGCATGCTGGTGACTGCTTAAATCAGTCTCCTACAAATTGATGGTTCCCCAAGATCACGGAGCTGCGCAAGACCTCCCTAATGTATCGGTTGCATTTGTACGGGTGCGTTTAAAAAGGTAAAACTAGGTGAGACCAAATATATAAATCATGCATACCTCTGAGCTGTAGCCAATTGTCTCTTCTCTCTCAGCCTAATACCCTAAATGCCCTTTTAATGTCTCTTACAATCAGGCAGCAAATCTAGGGGAGTAGCATAACTTACCAACCCCAGTCAGAAATTTCTCGGGACGATTTAACTCGGGACTGTAATGGCTGCGATTCCAAGTCTGAGTTGATTATGTGATAGTTGGGGCTCCCTTCTGACATTAATCTGCCCACAAACACCATTTACACTTGTCCAGCTGAACGTGTCGTTAACCGGCCCATAAAAAGCAAGAGGATGAGGGTAACTCCAGGTGGCTAGATGGCTTGCAGGTATCTCATCTGTTATTAGGACCAGGGGTGGAATAAACAATCATGACGCTGTAAGGTTCGAATATGATGTCTCCCTGCGGCCGGCAGAGCGAGGGGGGTATATTATAATGAGGGACTAACACCACGTTTGTATGTTATTATATGTATATGGGATTAACTGGAAGGAGAAGATTGGGTAATCAAGAGAGGTAACTTTACGTTTTATTAGATAGTTAAAGTATAATGTAGAGGTGGACTTCTTGCTTAGTACCTCACATGTCCAATCAGCCTGATCTATTCGTCTCACTTTGCATGTCTTCGATGCGACCATGCTTAAGCCCTCATTGGATCGCTGCGCTTAGTCTGGCCTAGGTTAGTACCGAATTAAGGAAAAGCCGAGGATAATAAAATCTAGGACCAAATAACTATTGCGTATGGGGAGAGATTTGCCCTTAGTATTGTTCCTTTGAGAGTGTACAATGAGAAGCCCCGTTCAAAGAACCAACCCTACCCTGATCACTTGAACTTCCCTAACTTATCCTAGTGTCCAACGGCGGCCAATGTTTCCCAGGGGCGAGAATCAATTAAACCATTTGAAGGAATACAGCAATGAGATATCATCTGTCAGTGATTTGACGTTCCAATCGGTTGCGGGGACTGACCGTTGGGAAATGAGATTTCCTGATGTTATTTATTTTCGAACCCTAACTTAGTGCTTATCTTCTTTTCGCATGAATCCGCCTTTCTACTTTTCCTCCTCTCCCCTCCCCCACGTCCGCTGTTTAGAGTCTACTAAAGCCCGAGCTCGTTCGCTCTCAAATAGTAATTATTAACCTCTACCCTGGACAAGAATAAGTCTAGAAAAGGAAAGGAAAGGAAAAGAGAAAAGAGAAAAGAGAAAGAAAGCTAGGATGGTATCCAGCCAGGATCTCGAATCAGAGATCTCAACGCCACTCTTAGGAACCCATCAGTCCAGAGCGCACGTCGAGTACAAGCACAAGCGATGGACCCTGTTTCTCTTATGCACGGTGATTGTCACACTTGACTTTGGCACTTTCCTCTCCCTCGCTCCACAGACTCAGATAATGGAATCAATCATCTGTCGCAGGTTTCATCCAGGACTATTTGTCGATCTCCCATATGGACAGTTCTTATCGGATAATACACCCTGCAAATCTGTAGATGTACAGGGGGAGCTGGCATTGATCAGTGGATGGAAAGATACATTGGACCAGATCCCGGGAATCATCCTGGCCCTTCCATTGGGCTTCCTGTTAGATCGCATTGGCCGCAAACCAATTGCAATGCTAAGTATGAGCGGACTACTCATGGAGGAGATCGCGATCCGCATCATCTGTATGTCGCGACGACACTTCAACATAGCATGAGTGTCCTCTGGCTAACTGTCCAAGGCTTGTACAGTGAGGAAATTCCTCTTCGAGCTATTTGGTTCACACCTTTATTTCAATTATGTGGTGGTGGTTCTCAAATAGCCAGCTCTGTGGCCTTCACCATCGTCACAGATATCTTTCCCGCAGAGCAGCGGTATGGAGATGCCTGTCCCCCTCCACCTTTTTGTAGTAGATATACTAATTTCTGTGCATTGTCCAGTGCAAACATATTTTTTGTGCTCTTTGCGGCTGTTCTACTTGCCGAGATCCTCGCAACTCCTCTGAGTGCTTGGCTTATGTCCTGGTCGCCGTGGCTCCCATTCCTACTCGGCTGGCTCTGTGAGGGTTGTGGCTTACTGGCAGCCATACTTATCCCGGAAACTCTTCCGAAGTCACTCAACGAATTAGGATCTGAATCGGTAGACGAGGAGCATGATTGCCTTGTTCCCCCACCCACATCGCCGAAGTGGAAAGGGTCCTTCTATAGTGCAGGGTCCCATATCATGCACTTAACTGCATTTGTTTGGGGAAATTTCAACACAGTGGCTATTTCAATTGCATTTCTGGCGGCTAGTGTTGGAGGGCAGGCCCTCCAGTTGATCATCCAATATGCTTCCAAGCGCTACTCATGGACTATGGCTAAGGTGCGATGCTGCCTGGTAAAGGGCCGAATATAGCCACTAACACATCATTTCTAGGCAAGCTTTCTCATCTCCCTAAAAGGAATGATCGATCTTGTCGTCTTGCTTCTATTGCTACCAATTATCTCCCACTACTTAAACCGGTACCTTTCTCCAGCTGTCAGAGATCTTCGAATAACACAGGGAAGTGCAGCTATTCTAGCAGTTGGATTCGGCATCATGGCAGTGGCCGATCACCCAGTGCTGTTCGCCTTCGGCGTATCCATTCTGGCCTTAGGATGGGGCTTCTATTCCACCCTCCGCAATGTGGCCACAACATTGGTTGCAGAGTCTCAAATCGGAACGCTCAACACCACAATCGCTCTTGTCCAGGGGGTTGGGAGCATGATTGCTGGACCGTTGCTCGCCAGTACATTTAGGAAAGGTATGACTTTGGGCGGTACGTGGATGGGTTTGCCATACATGATGGGTGCTATACTGTTTTTGCTGGCAGGGCTGGCCGCGTCTAGCGTACGGACGCCTCGTTAAAATCCACTTCTCATCTAAAAATTAAATGAATACCGATATCTAGTGGGTATATACGCCATGGTGTTCTCTAGAATTTTTATATCCCTCGGCTTTTGTTCTCTTTCTTAGGCGTAACGAATAGCATGAGTTTATGCAACAATTTAACTCGTGGGCCTACTTTGACCTGTCATCGAAGTGCACATGTGAAAACGTTCGGAGAATTGGAACACGAGCAAGGAGGGCAAATTTTAGGATGGATCAATATCTGCGTATACCTTACCTTACCTCTCCAGTGAACTCTGCCAGGACGTAAGTACAGTACAAACAAATATATGAAGCAAGGCCTGATGTTTGCCTTACCGCAATTAGTTTGGATGCTGGGTAACTTAACACCTGACCTCCTGCTTCATCTGGTGACGGTATTAAAAGGTAGCAGGAAATGCCTCGGCGTATGTACGGAAGATGTACTTTTAATACGAGGGTAAAAGCAAGGCATCCCTTTTAAACTGTACAGAGTCAATTCTGTTAGGTTCCATGCGTCAGTCTTACTCCATAGGGGTTCATCGAACTTATTCTTAAGTTCCACCAGGGGTGATCTCATAGTATACTAGTACTTCTAGAAGGGGGGGATCTCTTGCGGTGGTACGGACCAAGATGGACGTCATTACTCAACCCTGACAGGTACGAAATTCTTGTGGGGGTGGGTGGGTGGTTCACCTGCGGTACTTACAGTATGTATGTATGTATGTATGTATGTACGTACTTACCTGCTTGTCTGCCTGGTGTTGGGTCAATTTAGATGACGAGGGTTGCCTGTTGAGAGAGAATCTAAACATAACAAAAATAAAATTAGAATCTAAAATGAGAAGAAAAACATAAACAAAAAAAACAGGAAAAAAAAAATCAATCTCTGTTTGTACAGAGATACCTACATACGTACAAACCCGTGACACCAGAGATTTTCCTTCCCTTCCATGCTCTTCCTCCCTGCCCCAATTCCTGCCTTTTCGTTTTCTTCCCACCCCGTTGTTATTGACTTATTATATTTCCTTTGATTCCTGTCCACTCAAAGCATTCAAAGATCTCGTTCTTCGTGATTTGGTGGTTCATACCTGTTGAATATTTCATCATCATCAAGATCCGGACCGGGTCCCCACCCCCAATTGTTCTCAATTTTCTGATAGAGAGGATTGACCACTGGGGCCATTCCCTCCCACCCGCCGCCTATCGATTCTGCCCTTACCCTTTCTCGCCCACCTGATTCTTTGCTCTCTTCCTTCTTCCCCTCTCTGACAGAACACCTCCCCCCCAGAATTTTTTTTGCCTTTTCCCTCTTTACTCTTGATTTGTGCATGTGCATTCCTGGCCTACAATCTTCCCAGAACCTCTAAATTGCGACCACTTGAAATAATGGGTCAGACTTTGTCAGAACCAGTAGTCGATAAGGTACGTGAAACCAAGTGTTGCTGCTTTGGTCTTTCCTTTCTGATCCCCCCACACATGTCCTTACGCAATAATTCCTTCCCTTCCGTCCTGAGGCCGCAGGGGCGCTCGGTCGGCCTGCCACAAGCTTCCCCACGGACAATCTCTCTCATTATATCTCTCTTTCTCCCTTTTTTTCTGTCCAATGCCCGATTCGCTTTTCTGGGGATTCTCCTTTTGTCATTACTCTTGGGTTGATCCGGTCTCGAGGCACCGCATCGTGATGCTCCTCACCTGCGGGGTCCTCCACATGAGGAAAGAAAATTTCCCCCGGATGGCCCACGAACCCATGCCCGCCCTGCATTGCGCGATGAATGATACTAATCAGTGCTAATATCGTCTAACTCTCTTTAGACTTCGTCCGAGGGCGAAGATGATTGCTGCATCTACGGCGTCTCAGCCATGCAGGGCTGGCGAATCAGCATGGAGGATGCCCATGCTGCCGTCCTAGACCTCCACGCAAAATATACGAGTCCGGAAGAGACACCAACGGATCCCGCCAAACGCCTAGCTTTCTTTGGAGTATATGATGGACATGGTGGAGACAAAGTCGCACTGTTTGCTGGAGATAATGTGCATAAGATCGTCGCAAAACAGGATTCATTCGCAAAGGGCGACATTGAACAGGCCCTGAAAGATGGCTTTTTGGCTACCGATCGCGCTATCTTAGAAGGTTCGTGAGCGTTATCCACAAGGGTTCCGGGTTTCCCTTCTCTCCCGTTTTTTCTCTTCATTGAGGCCTTGAGAGACTGACTCGGCTAGACCCGAAATATGAAGAGGAAGTCTCCGGCTGCACGGCAGCTGTCAGTGTAATCTCAAAACATAAGATCTGGGTGGTACGTGAAGCATGTTTCGTGACCGATTCAGCGGTCAGCTATAGTCTGCCTGATCAATCATTAACCGGACATAGGCCAACGCGGGTGATTCTCGCTCTGTGCTTGGTGTCAAGGGCCGCGCAAAGCCTCTCTCATTTGATCATAAACCACAGAATGAAGGTCTGTGGCTCAATCCTAGTTGAATTTGCCTCTTCGTGATCTTTTACTGATGAGCTACTTTAGGCGAGAAGGCTCGTATCAGTGCCGCAGGTGGCTTTGTCGATTTCGGCCGTGTGAACGGAAACCTGGCCCTGTCGCGAGCCATTGGTGATTTCGAGTTCAAGAAAAGCCCCGAGCTTGCGCCCGAACAGCAGATCGTGACCGCTTATCCGGATGTGACAGTTCATGAGCTTAGTGATGACGATGAATTTCTTGTCATAGCCTGTGACGGTAAGTGTTCCCTCGATCACCTCTTTTGCCAACCACACACTCATGTCGAGCTTTAGGTATCTGGGACTGCCAGTCTTCCCAGGCTGTGGTTGAGTTTGTCCGCCGTGGTATCGCCGCGAAGCAAGAACTTCACCGGATTTGTGAGAACATGATGGATAACTGCTTGGCTTCAAACAGCGAAACCGGTGGGGTTGGATGTGACAATATGACTATGATAATCATTGGCCTCCTAAATGGTAGGACTAAAGAGGAGTGGTATAATCAGATAGCTGAGCGGGTGGCCAAAGGCGACGGCCCTTGCGCTCCTCCCGAATACGGCAAGTCTCTTGAGGATTCTACGGCCTCCAAGCCCTACTGACTGAGCGGGGATGCAGCTGAATTCCGCGGCCCTGGTATCCGTAATCAGTTTGAAGAAAACCCGGATGACTACGATATGGAAAATGATCGCGCGCGTGGTTTCAGTGTTCGCTCCGGCCGCATTATTCTTCTAGGTGACGGCACCGAGCTGGTCCCTGATCAAAACGACGAGGAGCTCTTTGACCAAACTGAGGAAGATCGGGATTTACCTAGTCAGGTGCAACGCGAATTGCCTGATTCTACCAGGAATGAGCGTGAAGGAACTCCGGGACCTCAGTCGAAAACTGACACTGCCTCCAAGTCTGAAGAAGGATCATCTGCTAGTACATCCGAGTCAACCTCTACTCCCGCAGGAAGCTTTACCTCTGGAGCCCCCGAAAAATCTACGTCGTAGTTGTGATGGGCTATTTGCATCTGTATCCGCCTTTCCGTTATTTTGGTTTTTGAAACGAATCTTGTGATTTTATGATTGTTCCGCCTTGCATCCATGTCCTCCCACTTTCGCCTTGTTTTCCTGGTTTATCACAATAGTCCCCCCTTCCATTTCCCTGTTGTTGACACCCCGTGGCATTGAACGGGGCGGAACAAGCGGTGGGAAACCTTCTATGTCCCTAGATGGCCAGGTATCTTTCATGTCTTGCAGGATGGGTTATAAGGGTTCCTCTTAGGGTAGGAGGTCTTACTTCGTTTTCCATTTCAAGCCGCGAGCGGCAGATCTTACGAGAGTACGTCTTGATTTATGCCTTCCCACAAGATATCGTGCCAAACGACCCACTATTGATGAACTTTGATATTTATGATTTATTCCCCCCCTCTTTTCCCTTATCTTTTCTCGCCCTTGACTTTCCGTCCTTTCTGCTCCATCTATCTGCCTGTTCATTAACTTCCGTCTGGTTTCGTTCTCCCTTGCCACCTTCTGGAGATCTGCTGCTCTCTCCTATCATTCGCACCGGGTTGCATAATGGACTAAACGGGGCTTTTGGGAAAAGGCAGAGCCGGGGAGACTTAAGTCGGTAGGGGAGGATGGGAACGAAGATGTTCTATTGCACATGTGACGGCGTATCCGGAAAGCAATCAATGGCATGAAGACCTTTTAGTCAGAGCTGGAATGGCATTTAGTCGAATGCTTCAGCAATGGAGTTCTGGAAATGTGATGGATGCAAGCGATCGTTCTCATGTTCTGTTATTTTTACTCGTACGGATATAGAATCGTTGGCCGAGCGAATGCGCCGAAACCCACATACCGGAGTGATGTATGGAGGAGTGGGAAAGAGAGAAGGGGAAACGGGGAGAGAGGGAGAGATTTAGTGTAAGATGAAGCGTATAACTGGGAAAGAAAAGAGTATTTCATACAGACAAGGCCAAGAAGAGAGAGCCTTGAACATTGCATGGGCATGAACTGGAGGAACCAACCAAGAATTGTTGGGGGGCCATTGTAGAAGGAGATCGAAATACATGTAATGGTTCTGACAGTTCACTGTATGTATGATAGTCTTAGGTATGTATGTACATACTATACTAGTATGTTGAAAACAACGCTTACCGAGTCATATTGGGCTCCGCCCACGCGGTGTCTCAAAAGGTATTTTCTCTTTTTTTTTTTTTTTTTCAATTCTTTCATGTATGTATGTTATCGATTTATTTGAAGAGACCAGTCTAACAATTCTTTCACAAGCAGATTCATAAATACTACATATTATTATTATTATTTTTTTTCCTATTCTACTCCCTTCACTCACTCACCCATTCAACTTGCACTTGCTGGTTCCCTCCCTCCCCCGTTTCTCTCCACCCCCATGAATCAATTGGTTTTAGGGGCTAGAAGGTAAACTAAAGAACAAGACCCCTAAAACCATTAAATCGGGTCCCGTGTTTTTGTCCTACTCCTCCCGCTTTCTTCTTTCCTTTCCCCATCACTCATTTCTACTCTGTCCACTTCGCGCTCCCAACGCGTCTCGATTTACTGCCCTTCATATACCTCTCTCTTCCCCCCTACCCCCTGAGATTTAATTTGGCCATTCGACTTTTTTTTTTCTTTTCTTCAGAAAGCACACAACCCCCATCCTTTTCGACGGAAGTAGAGCAGGGCTCCCTCGGTCATTACCTTCCCATTCTATCATAATGTCCTCTCCGTCGTCGGCAGGAAAGCGCAAGCGCAGTGCTTCCCAACATCTTCCGTCCAACGTAACCTCCGCTGATCTTCTGCAACCTTCATCACGCGATGCGTCGGGCGAAGATGGCGACGATTCCACCGGTCCGAATACTCCCCTGTCGGTCAAGTACAAGAAGCAGGCACCAATTGATGTAACTTCGGCGGGCAATGTTCCGCCATCGAAACGGGCTCGGAAGAGCTCAACAGTTGGCGAGCAAGCCAATGGTCCTGCCACCGACGAACCCTCGGCACTCAGCAAAGAAGATCCCGGCGAGCCGTCAGAAACGACGGTTGCCAGCAGCGACATCGAAAGCCGAAGCAAGAGCCGGTCGGGATTGCAGATCAAAACGGCGGATGTTGAGGATACTGAGGACATGATGCAGCCACCTCAGCGGGCCGGGTTGCAGGATCCGGTTGGATACCATACTAATCCTCCGCCCGTGGGGCGCCCAGTGCGCGTGTATGCGGATGGTGTCTTTGATTTGTTTCACGTGGGGTATGTTAATGTGTCTGCTCTTAAAAGCTTGGAATGTGCTAATGGAACTTTTTGCGTAACAGCCATATGCGTCAGCTTGAACAGGCGAAGAAGGCTTTCCCGGATGTGCATCTGATGGTCGGTGTAACTGGAGATGAGGAGACTCATAACCGGAAGGGTCTTACTGTCCTGAGCGGTGCGGAGCGCGCAGAGAGCGTTCGTCACTGTAAATGGGTGGACGAAGTGATTCCTAATTGCCCTTGGCTGTTGACTCCGGAGTTTCTCGACGAGCACCAAATCGACTACGTTGCGCATGACGACCTGCCCTATGGTGCGGCCGAAGGAGATGATATTTACGCTCCGATCAAGGCCCAGGGCAAGTTTCTGGTTACTCAGAGGACGGAAGGCGTCAGCACCACGGGAATCATCACCAGGTGAGTATCTCTGCTCCTTATTGTGGTGCTGTGCCGAAGGCTGACTGTATTTCAGAATTGTCCGTGACTACGACCAGTACATTTCCCGCCAATTCAAGCGAGGTGCCTCGAGACAGGAGCTGAATGTGTCATGGCTTAAGAAAAACGAATTGGAAATCAAGCGACACGTTGCGGAGATTCGGGACAATATCCGAAACAACTGGACAACCACGGGCCAGGAGCTGGGCCGAGAATTACGGCAGCTCTGGCAGAATAGCCGGCCTGGCAGCCCGGCACCGAGTGCGAGGAACAGTGTAGACATGGGTAGTACACGAGGAAATGTTGTCAGCCCTACCACTGGTACCATGAAAACTCATCTGTCACGAGTGGAATCAGTGGGCCGCTCTGAAAGCCCCATTGGCAATGGACGGAATGAAGACTTTGCAACTGGGTACAGCTTGGGATTGATTGGAGGTGTAAGATCCTGGGTAAGGAGATTCTGTCACCCAAGTGGAATTGAGCTGTTATTAACTGGACATATGCGCAGATGCGCAGCCGTCGGTCACTCTTGGAAAGCCGCGCCCCTTCCCCGACAAGTGAGGAGGAGCATGAGTCTGAGCAGGAACGCAGTAACGGCCACATTGAACCATTCAAATCGCCCGCCAATGCCGTGTCAAATTAGAGCCGATGGTCATGCACGGTTCAGCCCTATCAGATTCTAATCATCTGCTATCACTCTTTCAGATAGTTGCTTATCATGTCTCTGAGCACATGCAAGTTAGGTCAGAGAATGAAACAAAAGAAAAAGAAAAGGGAAAAGAACAACCCACAAAAATTGACATTTATCTTATGGTAGCTTGGAAAAGGAGAAAAAAAAAAAGGCACAACAATATCTACTACTCAACCCCCCCCAACCTTTTCCACCGAGTTCCGTGACCATTATCAGACGATTTTATATCAGATGGGTTGATACGAGATAATGTTTCCTTATTGATACTTGTGACTCTTTGTTTATTTATTTATTTTTCTCTTTTCTCTTTTCTACCTTCTGGTTGATATTATCGTTGTTATTATTATGATGACATCTGCCCCCATAATCATTCCTGTTGGGTCAAGAAAGAAATCGCATATCTTCAAGTTTGGGTTAAATTGTACGGAAATCTAGGGAACGGCTAAAGGGTTTATTTCATTCATCGTCCTTTTTTTTTTTTTTTCTACTTGTCCCACTGCTGTTGCTTTTCTCCTGATCTGTATTTATATCGGCCGGGGGGTTTTCTTTTGTCTCTTCTCCCGCTTGTTGATTGCAGGATACTATCTTTAATAAGTTGCCTTGACTGTAGATAGATTTAGATAGATATCTGTTGGAATCGATTATGGCGTTTCATGTGGGTCTTGATCAAGTATCTCGGAGATGGCACACAGGCTTGGGTGATGAGTTCGTCGGCTGGCCTCATCTGCCCACTCTTGGCTCCGTATAACTGGCATATATTGGCTTGGGCAAATGTGACAAGCATCTAATTTTTGTCATCTATCTATGTAACAGGACGAGAGGTAAAGAGAGGCAAAGTCAAATCGTGGATCAACCGCTGACCGTTTTCAAACCCAGTTCTAACTTTTATAGTCACAAGACGATGTGGACAACCATGAAGCAAGGATAAGGAAAAGAAAAAAAAAAAGAAACACAACCGCAGGCACACAAAGGGTATCTCATTCCTAATTGCAAATTTGCTATTTCCGTTCTCTGCCTCCATTGGGAAGCTTGATAGGCATATATTTTTTACTTCGTAATATCAAAATGTTGTCGAATCGACAGGAAATTTAAATGATCAAGCAGCCGTGATAGCAAGGCGCGGTCGCGGTTTCCTCTCCGCAACGTCGAGCACGTCCGCCTCCATGCCACACGCCCTCTTCATCTGAAGACTAGGAACGATGGGTATCTGGCCACGCGGTGAGCACATACGCTCACGGAGAGCGTCTCGCAAAGCCATTGCATCCCGGCACAGGTCTTGCTCCATCACTCTCTTGGCGTAGGCGTCGCAGCGGGCCGTGATGCCCAACTCGAACGACTTGAGTCCGCGGACACAGAACATCGGGGAAACCCAGGGCTCATCGATAGCCAGGCGGAAGCGTTTCCCGCCAATCACACCGCTCATGGCGTTACCGCTGAAGCGGCCAAGGTCAAGGCTCATATGCAACTGTTCGAGGTCGCCGAGGGCAGCGATCCGGGTCCAGAAAAGAGCCCAGAGGTGGTCGTTGTGAGTGTGAGAATAGATGGAGGATTTGTGCTCCTGGCCGGCCATGGGCTGCCAGATGGGCATCCATTGGACGGTGAGGCGCTTGATCGAGCGGAGACGCTCCGGGCAGACGATCAGAGAGAAGGCGATGAAGGTGTGGAGGTCGTCTACGTCGAAGACCGCGTTGGCGTAAAGGATGTCAGCCGCTTCAGCGTATATGGCGCGACATGTGCGCAGCAATGCCACCGAGGAGTTGCTCAGGGACGCTGGGAGGGAGGCGTGCGTGTGCGGGTACAGCACACTGTCGGAGTGGTTATCCTGGACCCGCCAGCGGGCTGGGGTAACAGGGCAGCAGCGGCGGTTGCGGTCGAGTGATGATGAGGGATGTCTGCACCGGACGTGGCGGATCTTGCCCTTCAACTGGACTAAATGGATAGCTTCATCGCCGAAGGCGTAGTTGTAGATTATGAGACGAATTTCGGCAGGTAGCTTACGGAAGAATAAGCTGTCGAATTGGGATGCCATAGGCCGTGCATGTGGGTCGACTGGTTTGGATGATGTGGAGGATGAGGCATGAGGAGAGATATCCACGGAGGGCGCGCAGATTTTGCGCTCTTGGATCAAATCACGAATGGTCTCTTGCCATCTTCGTCCCGTGGAGTAGTAATGGAAGATGGAGTACGGATCTCGAAGTAACCAGGCATCGAAGTGACGCATTGTTAGTTTCTTTTTTTATTTTCTTTTTTATTTTTATTTTTATTTTTATTTTTTCCTGTTCTCTTCTAACCTCTTAGTCCCCCCTTTCTCTCTCTTTTGCCCTTTGATTTTGACTCGTCAGATGAAATGAGAGAAATGGGGGGAAGTATGGGGAAGGATGGGGAAGTATGGGGGAAGGTGGACGATCAAGGCAGATAATATATAAACTATACTCTGTACTGTTACTTATGTATACCTACTACTGTCAAACGCCACTTGAAATCCGGGGTAAAAAATCAAAATCAGGTACGGAAGGCACCAATCAGTCAATTCGGTGAGTCTCGGGAAGTGCCGTCGGGACTTTTCGGTGTCAACTGTAACCCTATGACGCTGTGGCTGAGATCCGTCTAGAGGACGAAATTTCTCCAGGAGGCAATGGTTTTCATGATTGACCCATGGTCGGTTATACACATAGATAAGAGAATCAACAAAATGAAAATACACACGGAGCACTGTCGTCCACCACCAATGAACGAAACGTTGTGGATCCACCGGTAGGGCGCCACCAAAAACAGTTCTCCCAGCCCTCAACTTTGCTGCAATGCGACGCACGGCCTGCAACCTGTCCTGAGCGTCCGGATTGAGGGTTACTTAGTTGCTCCTACTACTACGGAGTACAGTAGTAGCTATGTGCTACTTATGTATCTTGGTATGTAAAGAAAATCATCATCTATTATCCATGTACGAGTAAGTCTAATACAACATGTCTATCTATATAGTAGTATATAGCAGACAATCAAATCAATCACAGACTTTTTTTTGCCGCTGTTGCCGCCAGCAGCACCACATAGTCATCATCACCATCAGAAAGGTATTATTGCTTTGCTGTCAGATCCCTCAGATCGTCATAGCTCTTGCCTCGCCAGCTCCGGCATGCATTAGTTGTCTTTTCTCCCACTTCCCCCGCCCGTCCTCTTTCCTGGCCTTCATTCCTTTCCGCTTATGCAAGTCGTGACGTCGTCGTACGCGGCCAATTTCATTATTTCCATTTCCGTTTCCGTTTCCTAGTAGTACTCAGTTCGTCTCATTCTCATCTTCCCTAGTGGCAGCTGCGGGCGCTTCCCGGACGACGGCCACATAGATGGCGCTTCCTAAGATCAGACCAGATCCCATCCAACTCAAGAGAGACAGAGTACTTCCCCACACAACACGGTCATAAAACAAAGCAAAGACCATCTGCATATATATCATAGACGTGGCCCGCGATCCGGATGAGCTGCGCGACTCCGCCTTTGGTTCATCATTCCCATCGCTTCCATATCGACGATGCTGTTCCGACGTCGACGATTTCCTTGGCGGAGGCACGTACGACAGACCAGCGGTCAAGAGGAACTGCAGCAGGAACCCACAAACACCAAGGCTCAAGAGCAGCGTCCATTCTAATGGGGTGCCCGGTAGTTCCAGAGCAATGGAAGGCATCACCAGGATGGCCACGGTCGACACAATAGTCGTGAACGAGGAAAAATATGTCACGGACACTAGCGGATGACAGCGTTGTCCGATCATTCGGATAGTCGAGTACGCGCAAGACGCCCCCATGACTCCCATGAGCGCCATGACGATTGCTAGAATATGGTGGTATTCATCCTCTGAATCAGGCTGCTCCCCGCTGCCGGGGGGATTTCCGTTTGAAAAAAGCGAGAAAGGCCGTGCGATCAGAACCACACCAACTAGCGACACCACACCAGCGAGCTGTTGCTTGCGTGTGAAGGACTCATTGGGAATGAACAGAGAGCAGGCGTAGCAGGTAAGGATAGGTGCCAGAAAAGTTAACACTGTGGCTTCTGACAGTGGTAGGTATTGAACGGAGTAGTAAAGCCCATAAACGCCAAAGAAGCCGCCGGTTGCACGAAGCAGAAGAAGATGAAGTACAGGGCGGGTCCCAAACGGATGAGGGACTTTGGTGTACCACATGTACAGATAACTGACTATGACTGTGATGGACATGCGGGCGAACAGGATCTGTTCCAGTTTAGTACGGGGAGATATTTTTTAAAAAAAATAATAATGCCAAATGATCATTCATACCTGAAACGGATGAAACCCTTCTCCATTCCTTCCCTTTCTTTCTAAAATTTGAGTCATGACATTCATGGAAGCCCCGAAGAACTGAGCCAACATGACAAGGATCATTCCCTTACCCTGGAGCCAGAGTTCCTGTGCCGAATCCCATGTCGTTTTCCACCATGATGATAATGATGATGGTGACGGTGACATTGGCGAGTTTGATCCGAGTAAGGGTCTCCGTTCATCTTCATCTTCATGGGTGTTGTCTCGGCGCTTTCTGCTCCAACCGAACACCGCGGAGAACACACTGCGAGGGTCGGATTTGGCTACTGACTCGGACCTGACATCCTCGACAGGATGCTGGCTCTCATCCGGACTAGACGCCGACGGACGCATCATATTCAGTCGATGTGAGCTGGTATTTAATCCTTTTCTTGTCTCCTGGAGGCTGAAGAACCGAAGAAATAGAGGAGAAGGAAAAAGAGATAGGTATAAAGTAGACGGTTTTAAGCAAAGAAATCGGGGTTGCTCAATGACTAATGGATCTCCTCCTGTAGTAGTTCAATTAATTAATTAATTAATTTAGTTATTCATTCATTCATTCATTCATTCGTTTATTCTTTTTAAAGAAGATATAAAGAAAATAATAAAAAGAAAGTCAGCTGAATTCGTTTAGAAGCTGAACAAAAAGAAAAGAAAAAGAGAAAAAAGAAGAGCGAACATTTCCTCCAATGTGCAGCCGCCGTGTGACTTTTTGGAGCGCTATCGGCGTCAAATGATGTTTGACAGAGAGACTGGAAATGTGGGTGTGGATCGGCGTACCCACTTCTCTACATACAATTTTATCCAGAACCAACACAGATATTCTTAATCTTATACCACAAATCGCTCAAGTCTTGTAAGGGAAAAAGAAGTACATGGTGTACAATAACAGTACATGTCAGACCCAAAGAAACATGAATCTGATAAGTCGTTGGTATAACAAAATACAGTATAAAAAAAGAGTTACCACTCTGGACTAACTCGAATCTAAACAAATGTGAAGGTATCACCTCCCTTCTCCCGCAGCATATTGCCGACTCGTTTGCTTCCAACAATCCTCTCCAATTTCAGTGCATCCCACTTGGAAAACAGTGCGCGGACACCTCCCTCGGCCGCCTCATCGATCGCTGCCGGATCCATACCCAGAAATCCAACAATCTCCCCCCAAAACATTGGGTTCTCTGGCACTCCATACATGATGACACGCTTGACACCACGGACCTGGTACCGCCGGAAATGGTGGAACCTTTCTGTATATAACAATACGGAGTGTCGACCATTCATAAAGTGCGTACGAGCTCGCATGATGTCTCGAGTGTCCGAGTATTCAGAAATCGCCCCGAAGGAGACGTTCGTGGTCTGCGCGGAAGTAGCAAAGTAATTGCGTACACGGACGAAATCTAGGTACGACGGGATAAATATCAAGGTTCCACCGTTATTGTTCCCCCGCCCCGATGTGATATTGCGGACTAAAGATGAGAGCACGGTCGTGGTGAAGTGCTTGAATCGCGCGTCTGGGTCTTTCGCCGGCGAGAGACTGTCGAAACGGGAGAAGGTCTGCTTCACAGATACTGGGAGTGGGATTTCGGAGATTGCTCCAGCGTATACTGGTGTCATCCTGATCTTACCAGAGACGTTCAGCATATGTGTGGAGAAGACCGAGTTGATCTCTGGGGTAATAAAAGAAGCCAGCATGATCATTTGGCGGACATATCGTGCGTTGTTGTCCAGGTACCATGTTCGCACGCGGCTAAAATCACAGCCGTGCGCCTCCCTTGGCTGTAAGTTGAGATGTTTGAAGATATAGTCGACGTGATCCCAATTCTGCATGAGAAGGGCATCGGCTTGATCCACTATAACGACTTCAATAGAAGATAAAAAGTCATGGTCACGTTTCTTCGCACTACAGTAAGTTAGCATGTGTTCTAGGCTTTCATTAGCGAGGACGCTCTCGGGAAACCTACTCAGCTTGGTCCATGATCGTGCGCAAGCCAAGTGGGCTGGCAAGGATCATATCTGAAGCGTAGAATTGTGCAAAGAATTTGACTGTCTTTCTCGTGAATTTGAGGCCTAGTCGGAACATGTCATCGTCATTTCCACCGAATAACTCTCGAAAGTCGTCCGGTTTACTCTCCCAGGACTTGTCGTCCGTTGCAGAGAAAGTGTCCATGAAACGCTTCTTGTTTTCTTGCTGCTCAGGTTGAAAGAGCTGGGTGATTGACTCGACGACACGTACGCAAGCTTGTTTAGTCGGGAGAAGATACAGCACCTTGGGTCTGGTGAATCCTTGATCCCGCAGATCAAGGTCGGCATCTTGTTCCTTTGCGACACGAGTGTTGTTCTTGAGCACACGGTCTCGGGTCTTCAATACATGGTTAACGGCATGAACTGCCAGAATGTCTCGTAACTGGGCCGAGTTAGACGATTTTCTGGCGCCATACAAGACGTCTTGATAGTCAAAGATGTATGGGGCGAGTTGTTGGGCATGGCCGCTGATCTGGGAGATATGCTCCAGAGCAGGCGCCTTCAACTTTTTCTTGAGCTGTAGCATAGTGAGCAACTGACTCTGTTTTCCACGTACCATCTGGTCGTCAGATAGTTGTTGCTTACCTTTAAATTCAGGATGCTCTTCATCGCAGGTAGGTAAGACAGATCGCTTCCCGTATCGGGAGCAGCGCACACCAATCTCAAATCCTCGGGGAGCTCTTTCTTCACAGTTTTCCATTTATTGTCCCCTACAGCCTTGATTTGCTTAGGCAGTTCGTCTTCTTTTTGCCCTGCGAAATGTGCCTCAAAGGGGTCACTATCTGCTCTATATCAGCAAGTGGTTTCTCTTCAGCCAGATAGACTGGGAAACTGTACCATCTTCATTGTCACTGTCGGCTTGACCATCGGCGTCAGCCTCATCTAAGTTATCTTCCTCCTCATCAGAAGGTTCCTGCTGCTGCAAGTCGTCATCTTCTAGTAATTTCTCTTTGTTGGCGGCGACGACAGTGTCATTCCGAGCTGCGTCTCCTTTATCATCCTTGTGTTCAGTCTTCCTCTTTTTGCGCGCCGGCCCTTTAGATTCAGCGGTTGTATTGAGTAGCTGAAGCAATTCGTTATATGGACGGGCCGACTTGTCATCTTCCTCGTCCTCATCGCTGTCTGACGATGCATCGTCCATAGGACCATCGTAGTCCATTTCATCTCCAAGGTTGTCTTCGAACTGACCCTCCTCTCCGCTTGAGGATACTTCTGACCTGGGTAGGCTGGTTAGCTTGGCTAAGTGAACCCAATGGGAGAAGCTTACTCTATCTCGTCTACCCGGGATGTTGTGAAGCCATTTCTCCTCATTACAGGAGCTCCAGGTCGGGCTCCACGACCCTTAGGACCTCTATTCCGAGGGGGAGCCATTTGTGAAAGAAGATATGCACCTGAAGGATTGGTAATGCAGCTCTGAAGGCACCAGACTCTTTGGGCCTTTTTTCTCGAATTATTTTTTTTCCTCCCTCTCTTTGGGGTCGGGGAGGCTTATCTTATCTTAGCGCGAAATTCCCGCCGCGCACACACAATTTGAGCCTCGCAGAACCTCCGTCGGCGCAGAGTCTAGCGGGCGGAAGAATTGATAAAAAAAAGAGAGTTACTCTCCACCACGCCGAGGAAGATACCAAGCGAAAGAGTCGAGAGCTAGAGAGAACGGTCATTCGCGCATCTAACACTTCTTACCCACCATGGCTGAAACTGATTCTTTCCTTCACCTTGCTCGCCCTTTGGGCCCGATGGCAGTGGGGTCTGCACCGACAACCGCCCCTCTGAATGTTGTCATTCATCCTCAGGTACGTTTGCTTTATCGGAAGGATAAATAAAGGATGGAAGTGCTGATGCCCCATGGCAGGCTCTCTTCTCGATCCTTGATCATTCCCTCCGTCGCAATGCCGACCAGGAGCGTGTCATCGGAACCCTGCTAGGAACCAGGTCAGAGGATGGAACTGAGGTGGAAATTCGTACGACATTCGCTGTTGGACATACTGAGACAACGGATCAGGTTGAGGTCGACATGGAATACCAGAAGCAAATGCTTGCCTTGCATCTCAAGGCAAACCCGAAGGAAGTGCTGGTCGGTTGGTACGCCACTTCGTCGGAGTTGAACACCTTCTCCGCTTTGATCCAGAACTTCTACAGCGGGCAAGGTGATGGAACTTTCCCTCACCCTGCTGTCCACTTGACTGTCTCTACCGAGCCTGGCAAGGATGTTGAAACCCGCGCCTACATTTCTGCTCCTGTCGGTGTGACGGCAGAGAGAGCCGCTGACAGCGCTGCCTTTATCCCCGTCCCCCACGAGATTCGCTACGGCGAGACCGAAAAGAGTGGTTTGGAGTCTATTGCTGCCGCTCGCGATGCTGAAAGCCGTGCTGCGAACATCTTCACCGATATCGAGGCTCTTGAGCGTGCCGTCGAGGAGGTTCTTGGTATGATCGACCGCGTTTCCAAGTATGTCGAATCTGTCATCGATGAGGAAGCTCCTGCATCGACAGCACTGGGCCAGTTCCTTCTCAACGCTCTCGCTTTGGCGCCCAAGGTTGAGCCTGCCGACATCGAGCGGGATTTGTATGTTTTCCCAACCCCTTCCGATCTTCATCCTTTATCATGCTGGGTTGCGCACTACGTCCTAATGCTAACCATTTTTACAGCAACAACCACATCCAGGACGTTCTGGTTGTGTCTTACCTGGCCAACACCATCCGTACACAGATGGAGCTGTCCAATCGCTTAGCTACTGCCCAGCTCACCCTTGGCGGCGAATCCGGTAATGCAGAATCCGGCCAGCGCGGAGGTCAGAGAGGTGGCAAGGGAGGCCGCGGAGGGCAGCAGCGGACTCAAGACCGAAGTGGAGAGGAGGCTCGCGCGTAAAGAGGGAACGTAAAACCAAGGCTATCCATGAAGACACCTTTTCTTTTCTCTTTACATCTCTTGTCGCATCCAATTTTTACTTCTCGCATCTATTATCCCGCTACTCTGTTTATCCCTTTTCCCCTTGATATGTGTTTAGGGTTCTATCTTGTCCAGGGCTGTCGTTTCTTGTGGAAAAAGTTTGTTTTCGGTTCTGCTCCCATCCTTGTCTCTGTTATGGCATTTATGACATTTCATCCGCGATTGTTGGGGCAGTGCGAAAACGAATGGACGAACGAAAGCAAAAATAAAGGGACCAGAAAGAGCATGGCGTATGGGAGTCAATCTGGCTTTGTTCAGAGCGATTGAAAAAAAGAGCTGTGCAAAATGGGAAGAGCAAGGGTTTGAGACCCTTTTTATGACAGGAGCAGATCGGCCTTATTTGCTCCGATGATATAGTGTAGACTTGATGATTACGAAGCCGGCTTTTCGTACCGGCATGTCAATCATGATGAATGGACATACGTACTGAACCAACGAGTATCGGAGCTGTTATCTGTAGAAACCGGGCGGGAAGATTAATGTCGTCATTTAGTAGTGCATGGCTTGCTGAAAGGATCGCTTAATATCTAATGTCTTGAGCTCTCAACCTAAAGGCTAGAAAAAATTTCCCCAATAAACGCCTCTCGAATAACAACAGATGGTATCCCCTATGTTTAATAAATATTCGTAACCTAAACCAGAACGCCCGAAAATAATGTTGGAGAATAGAACGACATCGAAAGTAGCGAAGCAGGGTCAACGGCAACTGGGTCAACCAGTCTTTCTCTTCTTCGAAACCGTCGTGTCCTCCGTAGCATCCGAGTCCCTTCTAACATTTCTCTTTCCTTTTCCCTTGCTCTTCTTGCCATCGGTGCCTTCGCCCAAATCTTCGAGTTCCTTTTTGCTAGCATCCTTCAAGTTTCCAACCTGGTCATCATTCTGATCGAAGGCCTTCCGAGCTTCCTTTAACTCGCGTTCCATGCGCAATAGCTCCTGGACACGACCAAGCTTGTTGGGATCACGGCGCAACGCGAATCGGAAGTCGTCCACCTTGATCTTCTGACGGCGCGAATAGGCGGCATACTGAGCTGCGCCGTGGCACATCTCAAGGACAAAATCGGTAACAATCTCATCGAGCACACGAACTGTTTCGGGAAGAGGCTCCGAAGGGAAAGACGGGTGCGGGCTTGGATCGCCATATGCGAGAAGGAGGAGACGCACTATCAAATGAAAACGCAATGACGTAAGTAACGGAAGTTGTAAAAAACGAAAGAGGCAGAACCTACATTCAGCAGCAAAGTTCATCTGACCCTTGTGCCTAGCGGCACGGGCTCTTGGTTCAGCCATGGTGCGCTTCTTGTGCTTACGAGAGTCGGCTTCTGGGGCAGTAGAATCCGCGTTCTTGGCGGTGTCGGGTTTGAATGCTGGGCGATAACCGGCGCGGATTAGAGCTGTCTCTTGAGGGTTGAACGGCCAGGGAGGGGCAAGCTGGCTCGACACATGGCCAGAACTTGGCTGTCGAGGTGGACCGGATGGAGCTGGAGATGTCCGCTGCACTGTACGTAGAGGAGGCGGCAGAAGCCTTCGAGCTCTACTGGTAGGCGGTTTAACATTGGGACGGTGGCTAGGGCGGTGAGGAAGGTTGATGGACATGAGAGGCAGAATTTCTGATTCACTGGACAGAACGTGTAGACAAGATAGTATGATAGTATCTGGGTCTCTATCAGCCTTTGTTTTCTCCTGATTGTTCTAGCACTTGCACGGAAACCGGTGTCTTTTAAGTCACTGGCGTTAAGCTCAAGGAGGGAAACGGATCACTCCCAGGCTGTTCAAACAAGATGGTGAGTGAATGAGCTGTGAATGAAGCCTGCCTATCTAGACAGGCTCGACTTCAATAGGATGATTGCCGACTAAAAATAATCCTTCCTATAGTCTGCCTTGTTCAACTTTCAATCACTCCTGTTGGTTATCTTGCTTGTCATTTGCACGAGTACCTATGCCCACTCGATCATGCCAGGAATCATGGACCGTAATCAACATGGGTAGGTTCTATCACCCGTCTACCCCATGATGTCAACTAAGAGATGAGACTAACACCCTCATCTGAAGCTTCTTCGGGGTATTCTGGAAGTGTGCACGAATTGGTGAACGGCTTAGTCCGTATGTCAGTATCTGCTGCATCTTGATGGCTGTGAGTGCTTGACGACATCATATGAACGTAGTAAGTTGAGGTAACAGTAAGGCTAATATACATGAGCTAGGTTTCAATCTTCTTTGGAGGTTGAAAGCTTGCTGGTTACCCCCGTTTCTCTCTGAACAGCTCTTCCACTATTAATTTTTATGAATGAAGACCTTACCAGAAATCGGCGTTAAAGAACCTTTCTTGGTGGTTTGGGCATTATTATATCTTGCAGGGAGTTCGCATGGTTATTTACATGTGTATTGTACATAAGTGATAATTATACACCAAGAATATCCTCACATATATCAATTCCCCGTGCCAATGGCATTCTTTTCCGGAAACCCACGCTCTAAATGCATGAAGATAGAAAGACACTAGAAAATAAATGGTTATACAAGGGTATCTCAACGGGCAGACTCCTTTCTTTCGCACAGACGTTGCAAGCCTTGCTCCAACAGATGCTCATCTTCACCCAATTCATGCTCCGCCAAAGGCCTCTGATCAGAAGAGGCCATCATATCGTGGCGAGCGTCCGTCGCCTTGTCCAGTTCTTCTACCGCAATCCATAGGCGCTCTGGATCTTGGAGGTAGCGGAGACATTTCATTGTATATGAATCCATAGAATAGCCTTGAGCTTCCATGGCCTTAATTGACTTTGCAACCTCAGCAGTATTTTGCGCGTTTGCATAGGTGTTGATGACTGTGTTCCAGGTAACCTGGTTATATTCTACTCGGTGTTTGGCCATCATCTCCCGAACCTTCTCCGCGGCAAGTGGCTGTTTATTGAAGGTGAAGGCGCTCATCAGGACTGTCCAAGTCCGAACTGATGGTTTGCCATGAACGGTAACCCCATCGTCGAGTTCCCGGTCTTGGTTAGAAGAGTGCAGCATATCCTCTACTAGTCGCACAGCCGGTCGCAGCCCGCGAGGATCATCCCGAAAAGCTACCAAAAACTCGTTGTAAGTATGGTCGGTGGAGGCTAGTGGAGCTATGACTGGGTGGTCCCGTGAGACAAGGGTTTTGAATTTAGTGTAGACGCGATGAGCGTGGGATATGCGTTTCTGGCACCGTAGATAGGTCGCGATCATCAGGTACAGAGCAATGAGAGATGGTTGGAGATTATCACCTCCCGGGGGAGGGGTGTATTCTGGCGGAATGATAGAAAGCTCCTTTAACGGCGTGATGTCATATAACTGATTGTACATATCCAGTAGTGAGTAAAAAACTCCATTGGGGTCGTCATTTGGATCATGGTGCTTGGCATTGAAAGTAAAATGAGCGTGAAATATCTTGCTCGCAATCCAATCGTTCTTCTCCAGCCCACGTGCTCTAATATCTTGTATCAGTGATTGAACACGCTCTCGATCACCACGAGTCACCGCGTCGCTAAGCAAGGTTAAGTAGGTAAACGAATCAGGCTCGAGCGACTGCCGTCTCATGAAACGGAACATATCGAATCCCACCTGCGGATCACCGGTCTTGAAAGCGTTGGATAGAACTATATTCATCATATCCCGATCAGGTCGCACCCCCATTTTGAGAAGCTTGGGTAGGATATAGAAATTGCGCCCATTCGGAGTATCCTGAACAGAGTCGAGTAATAGAAGTTTGCAACAGTGACGCATAACTCCTTGAGAATCCATCAAAAAATTATCCTGCTCCCGTCTCCGCACAAGTTCAAGTGCCTCTAATGATTTATAGATATCCCCGAGTTCCGTAAACCGGCGCATAAAGCAAAGCCACGTCTCGGATACTATATGATTCCTCCTTTCATCCACGATGGCCCAGGCATGGTAAAGCTCCTCGGGACCAGCCTTCTTCAAGTAGAGCCGGACGCCCTTTTGCGTAAGATGCGCAACAGGCCAATTGCTTGGGTCTAGACAAGTAAGTAGAATGGACACGTATTTGTGGCCCCCTTTTTCCCAGTGTTGAAATTCACCGGCATGGTATTTATCTAGAAAGAGGAAGCAATCCGAAACCATGACGAACAAAGGCTTGTCCGCACTTTGGCAGGTAACAAGGAGAAATTCCAAGGCCAGATGCGGGGCATTTTGTAACAGCCATAATGATAAACGCTTCCAGTGTAGAGCCTTTGTGGATTTGTCCAATGCATCCCAAGCCTCACGGAACCTACCCAAGCAGTCTGTTTTGATCTTCTCGAGTAGACTTAAATCGGCATCATCGAGCATCAGCGACGCGGGAAACCCTTGTATATCCATGTCGGAAAGCGCAGCTCGATATATTTTACTATAAGTGGTTCTCCATGAATGGATCTCTTCGCGATCGTAGCATAATGATCTCATCTTTATGCTCTGATGAAAATCATACGTCTCCTGGCTCACCTGTCTCGTCTTGTAGATATACTTCGCCTTCCCGTCGACCACGGTACGGGTAGCATAGACGAATTTGCGCTCCTGATTATTGTGACCCTTTTCTCCAGATGACGATATGGAAGGGCCAGGAATGCCATCTAGATGTGATAATGATGAGCCCCCTGCGATTTCATCCTCGAATTCCTGAACTGGATGAGGAACTGCATCTTGAAGGCTATGAGCTTTAACCTCAGTCCGGGTGTCTCTCGGTTCGCGAATTAAAGCTGGATTAGAGTCAGACCGAGGGGTTAGATCGTTGCCAACAGAGTCATATGCACAATGATGTGGAATATTCGATGTCGACGCATGATTCGTGACATGTCGTACTGTTGGAAATTTCGCACTTTGGCGATACCAATGCCCTAGACGCAACCTATGTTTCGGAGCACGGGACTGTAGCCCGGCGCTGAAGCGGGAACGCAGGAGATGATGGGGACAAAATGACATTCAGGATTTCGTGATCTGGCGATCTTTTGCATTGAACATAGACGCCAGCAGGATAGCAGGAAAAGCCGTTCAGGGACGGGAAAGTAGATGTTGGACCTTAGAAGCTTGAGAAGAAACTAATGCCGATTTATCGCGGCCGCCGGATTCTGGCGCTAGCGTGGCTGATGCTCCCGGAGTGTGGCGCACCACTTCCGATAACATTGTCAAGAAATACTTAGTCGGTGGGCGATGCTAAAAATTGTCGCATACTTTTGACCCTGAAACGGGGGAGCTCATTCTTTTCCCCTGCAACGCTTGCTTTGACTTACCTCATCTACCTATTAATATATATCGAGTTTCCCAATATGTCATCCAACCATGCCACTCTCGACGCGGCGGCAACAGAACGCAAAGCTCGACTTGCAAAGCTCGCGGCGCTTAAAAGAAAGCAACCAGAGCCAGAGCCATTAACAGAACCCAACGATAAAGATAACGAGCTGGAAGATGCTGCCCCCGATGTCACGACCAAATTTCTTTCCGGAAGAAACTATGACGCAGAAACCCGTGGCCCAAAATTAGGATTTGACCAGGCCCCCGCAGACGGACAAATTACGGTGGAAACACAGGCTACGGAAATAGCTAAGGCAACTGCAGAACAAGCCAAGAAGGATGAAGAGGCGGATCAACCTATAGATCTCTTCAAACTTCAACCGAAGAAGCCCAATTGGGATCTAAAACGGGATCTAGACGAGAAATTAACCACTCTCAATGTGAGGACGCAAAACGCAATTGCAAGGCTCGTGCGACAGAGGATAGAAAATGCGCAGCGTGCGGTGAAGGGTAAAGATGCGGGGGCCAATGGAGGCCAGACAGGAGAGGAAGTAGGCATAGAGGGCGAAATGTTGGTCGAGGGCATACATGTACGTGAGAGGGAGGATGAAGATGAACGGAGGGAAAGCGAGGAAGACGACCTGGCATGATCTTGATACCCTACCAGAGGTGTGATTATAGGTATTTTGCGATCCTTTGTTCTTTCTACATCCGGTTTTTAAGGCGCTCGCTGTTGGGTCTGGCAATGCGCATCGAAAAGGCGTTGAGGACATTTTGCGTTCTATTATGTGGACACCGATATCAATTTATATATGATTCATATTACTATAATACAGTTTCGTAGTGGTAGTCTTTTCCCTTTTCCTGTTCCCGCCCCCCCCCTCCCCTCCTTTTTGTTTTCTTTTCTTTTCTTTTCTTTTCTTTTTTTTTTTTTGTGCCATTGCTGAACCTCTCACTTGCCCGGGCGGCCGATATTCATGGCCTGGGTCAATGCGAGACGTTTGCTGTAGGGGCTGAGACTCCGCTCCCTTCGAGGCTGAGGTACTGCGTGGCCTCGGTTATGCCCACTCCCCTCACCATGCGCTTTACTGTAGCCGCCATCTGAACGGCCTGAATGCCTGAAGGTGTCTCTCGAAAGTCTTCCAGGGCGGTTGGGGTCATGCATCGTTTCAGGTGTCGCGGATCGTCTTTCCCTTGCAATTCGGCCCTGATCAATGCTCTGGCTTCGAGTCCTATCTCTCCGGCTACCATCTCTTGACAAATTTCTAGCTCGCCCACGCTCCTCAGGGCTAGACGCTCGACGCCTTCGTCTTGTGTTCCTGTCACCCGTCCATTCCCGTGATCTGGAACGAGTGCGGTCTTTTTCTCCGTATGAATACGAATGAGCAGAATGGCTAGAAGATGAGTCGCTATACCGTCTCTTTCTCAGCTTCTCATGGTGAGAAGACGCTGACTTCGTCCCGTGAGGCTCATTTCTTGCACTGTATCCTCTACGGCGAGGTGGGGACTGTGAATGGGATCGGCTTGTAGATATTGTAGACACAGAGCTCACAGAATGCGAAGATGCTGACCGAGCCCGCTTTAATGTCTGGCCTTGACTATCCGGGGAACCTGATTCATCTATGTCTCTTTTACGGCCCCGCTCTTCTTCTCGCTTTGTCAGAAGATCATCGGCCACACCTTGCCTAAGAATGAGTCAGTGCACTGTATAAAAATTACAAAACAGATATATCATGGATTCTTACGAGCGCAATAGATCATTCGGAGTTTCCGCTGAAAGCTGCGGCCGCAATTTCGGGTTCTGTAGTTGCTGTGTGCGCGAAGGACGATATTGGTACGGGCGTTCCTGGGCGCTAATCGTGCATTCATAGCTATAATGCCGTGTAACAGGTCAGCCAAATGTGAACTGACGACCGAAGAATGGTACATATCTCGTTTTAAGCATTTCTGACAGAGGGTACTGGCAGTCGCCTTAGTAGGGCCTCTAAGGCTGGGAGCATTCCGGTATCGATTCATGAACCCTGACCGTATACAGAAGGTAAAAAGGGCTGCGTAAAGGTCTATGACAGCTTACAATCAAGTGGTATATCGATATAATCGCAACTTGTATGAATATCAAACCTCTCTCTCTGTCGCGGCTGTTGATGCAAGGTGTGGGTCAAGGGCACCGTTAACCGCGCGGCTAACCGCCCACCAGCAGACAAGCGAAACCCGATCAGTTCTGTTTCGTTCCTTCTCAGCCCAAAAGAACAAAAAAAAAGACCACCATCATCGTTCCCCCCGTTTCCTCCAACTACAGCGCCGTTGCGGGCCTAAGCAGAGTCGTTCGCGCAGTACGACTCCTTCCAGTTTGGCTGGGAATAGGATACTGTACTTATTTTTTTTTTTCTATAGTCCGAGTAGGAGGAACCCCCATTCCCCTCTTCAAAACAATCAATGGGAAAAACCATGAACAAGTCGCTCTGACCATCGTGTAAGATCAGTCACCTTTCTTGGATCTTCTGCTCTCTTGACGCTGTAGCCGCTGTCGGCTTTTGCACTTGCTCTTAGCACTACTGGACGGGCGCGGTCCCATTCAATACCAACCCACAGGACCTAACTTGCAGTAGCTTTCCCTATGGCGAATTACGTTTTCAAAAGATATGCCGTCTTTCTTTTTGGGCTTGTGTGAAGTGGGATCTTTGAGTGGCTTATTGTCGTCTTAAATTTCGGTTTCGTCCTTGAGTGAACCCGCACGTGTGAAGTCCAGCCATTCAATTCTTCTCATCGGGTTTCTTACCATTCTTCAATTCATCTTTCCCAGCTCGATAATTACCAGCCGAAGGAAGGCCAGAAAGAAGAAGATTACGAAAATAGTGCAAGGTGTTGCTTGATATTCATGGCATCCGAAAGTTCCCCAGAAGGAGAGCATTGTCTCTCCTTTGCAAAGGTACGTTGATTGATGTCCTACATGAACCACTGTCGTAAAGTAGATGATGGTGTCGTCCTTCTGACCTGCGCATAAGATCGCTGCTATGGCCTCACGGTCGAGATCGGAAGTTAACGTGGCATTTGATGAGAAGAATGGTTCACAGTCTACCAGAGAGCCTCCATGCTCAGAATCTCAGGAGTCGAAACACGTCCTGCCGAGCCAAGTGATCTCGAATAAGGATGATGAGGTCAACGCCGTTGATCGAACTTTCGATAACCTCCCGCGCACATTACAAGATGTTCATATTACAGAGAGGAAGGGCCAAGAGAGTCCCGACTCACCGGCCGAAGGTCAACAAAACGGGTCTCTGAAACGGGAGACATCTTTCGAAGACGACCGTACACACCTATCAAACTCCTCAACCAAACCGACAAGTTTCGACTCAAAGAGTATGGCCTCGGTCACTACCTTCGCAATGGACGAGAAAGACTCATTACGCCCTGATGATAGTGCCAGTGTCCAGGCTGTTGATGAAGAGGAATCTCTTTCCGGAATAGCATCTGGTGCACCGAACTCGTTGACTGGGTCTGAATCCGGTGCTCGGGGGTTCAGGGATATACAGAGAGCCCGTGCAGTACTGCAAACCACCGGCCCTCTATTCACAGACGGTAGCCAGCGACCAAACGGCGCTATGCTCCCTGACTCTGTTTCCAACAATTTCGTTATCGCCAACCAGGAAGTTTTTCGGAGCGGACAGTCCATATCAATGCATCCATTTCCAATGGAACCGGATGAGAAACTTCTCGAGGCGATGAAGTCCCCGAAAGATCGTCTTTTGATTCTGCAACTAGAGGAAAAAGTCAGACATTTTATTCAACATTCTAAGTGAGTTGACGTACCATAGCACGCTCTTATGTCTCATTCTAGCTAACATGTCACTACAGGGAGCAATCCCTAGAACTGCCACCTTCCAATGCATTTGGGCGCCTGCTTGCCCATAAATTAGGCGATTATTACCATCTAACTCATTTCGTGGACAACAATGTCACATCAGTTCGACTTCATCGAACTCCTTTCACTCGGCTGTAGGGATCCCACCCTTTTGCATGTACGAATAATGTATCCATACTAATCGGTTTAGGCCCACGCCTCTCTCTGCTATACACGCCGCAACAAACAACACCCCACCCCCTGCTATGCCTGCCATGAAAATCATGCGTCGTACCGACAGCGAGCGGCCTTCTACCGAAGGAAGTGCAGCGGCGAGCTCTGCATTTGCTTCAAAAACTGGGTCAGAAGCTGGTGATAGTGCAAATGACGGAGAGCGTGGCAGCTCTTCAGCAGGAGCTACCCCGGCCAAGGATCGGTTAACGCTCACCAGGGAAGAACGTGAGGCCAAGTATCAGGAAGCTCGGGAACGGATTTTCCGCGATTTTCCAGAGGCAAAGCCTTCCGATGGCGCAAATGGCGATCAAGGTACCAACATGTCACGCTCGAGTTCGACCAACGGGCGTAAAAAAGCACAAAGGCAAAAGACGCCACATGATGACAGCTTTGAAGTCAGGTCTCAGTTCAATGTCTATTACCCTGGGGTTCACTATCCGCATGGTCCTGGGCCCTATAATGTGGCCGCCAATGACTCTTCGTTCGCCGGCCAGCCATGTATGGTGGGACCTGGTGTGGCCCCACCGGGCATGGGCTATGCTCATAATGGCCAAAATGGGGCCATGTACCCTAGCCATATGAACATGGGCTCCATGCCTCATTATTCAATGCCCGTGTCTCCTCAGATGACCCCAAGTGGCCCGTGGCAGAACGGAGCTGTACCTCAGCAATCCCCGTACCCTGGATATGCCTCCATCAATCAGTCACCGGCTATGACATCCACGAAATCCTCACCTGCATTGAACAGCTATCCTGTGCCCAACGCTGTACAATTTCAGCACACTCCGGGATGGTCCTCCCCACCATATCACGGGGGCTACCAGCAATCTACGCACCGGAACCAACCACCGATGCCATGGACAAATTACCCGTCTCAACCAGTCACCCCTACATCCTACCCCTATGGTCAATTTCCTGGGCAACCCATGAACACAGGCAATCCAGGTGTCCATCCGTTGTCGGGAAGCTTCAATCGGTCCCCATTCAACCCTCAGACACGTTCATTTGTTCCTGGCGGTACGTCCTTGGCACGGCACCCAAGCAAGAGTGGTCAGCATGGTATGAATTCATACCCTACCATGCAAGCTGGTGTTCAGCCGCAGTGGGCTGGGTATCAAGAAGCTAGTAAAAGTTTAGAGGCAACAGCGCCCGTGGCGACCAATGCCCCTCGCGGATTACCTACGGGCGGTAGAGACTCTATTGCGAAATGGGGGACGCCGTCCCACCTTCCCCCTAAACCACCGCCATCTGAAGTACCATCTGAGTTTGATCTGAAACATCGGACCGGGCCCACGACTGCTCTCCCTTACTCTGGAAGCCCCCATCCGAATAATAAGAACGGCCCGCTCGTCGTGTCGGGGGGGGCAAGAGGCAACTAGTTGGCCCGTTCATGGCATTTGATCATGTATGACTCTTTTAGCCTACATGCTAGAGACACACGTTTAGAGAAGGGGGGCTGGGGAAGGCATTGACATGTCATCTTAAAGATAAGGATATTGCCGTTTCATGGCTATCTCTGGCAGATAGATGTGTGAGAGCAAGGTTCTGCACTCAGTGCGTCGTGCTGGAGTGATTTATATGATTATCTACAGCTTGTTGCTGTCACGTTTGCTAGATCCAGGCGGAGAAAGGTGGAGGTAGCCTATGAGATACATAAATCCTTCCGAATCAATCTTCAAATTGAGACATCTTCTAGTATGAGAATATCGTAAGGTTCATGTA